GGCCTTGCTCAGGGGCAGCCCGACCCCGCTCACCTCGCTGTAAATGTTCTTCTGGAAGTCGAGTTCTTCCTTCAGCGTCTGCAGACGGTTCTCGGCGTCCACCCGACGCAGCATCTCGTCCTGCAGCTGCTTCTTCACCTCGCCCAGGGCGGCTTCCAGCTGGGGAGGGGAGAGGGGAAAGTGAGCGCAGCTAGACGGAGATTCGCAGCCCCAGCAGGCGGGTCTCAAGCATGGTCCCTAGCCAGGTGGCTGCTGAGCCTGGGGACTGCAGGCCGGCAAATCTGGAGACTTTCCGCAAATTGTGATGGCTCAATTTGCATATTCTACATATTCACTGCCTCATTTGAATAAACCACATCAGAGCTAAACCCATCAATTCTCCCCTCCCCCCAGTACAGAAATCATGCCTTTCAAATCTACTCCTCCCCTCCCCTCTGCCCCCCACCTCCCGCAGGTCAGGGGCTCTCCCTGTCACAAGACTGTGACAGCTGCTCAGGGGCCCAGGAAAGGACCCTTCAAATCGGGGGTCTCCAGGCCAATTTGGGCAAATTGACAAGGCTGGGCCGGGCATTTCCTACTTTGCCCAGGGCAGCAAAAGGGACCATGGCCGGCAATCGGCACAACTAGTCCATGGGCCAGCTGGATTTGTCCCCCGCTGCAACAGGAGCCAGCCAAGGCTCCAGCCTCGCCGCTCCCATCAGCGTTTGACAGGCATGATCAGCGACGCGATCCCAGAGCTTCCAAGTCAGTGATAGGAGCGTGACTAGAACTGGAGCCTTTCCGACTCCCCCAGACACCAACCAAACCCTGGGACTGCGTCTCTCCCAGGGGATACTTAGAGAGAGTAGCTCACAGCTGCCTGCCCGCCATCCCACCTGGTGTTGGCTCCCTAGCTCATTGGAGCCATTCACTCCCCGGAGCTGCAGGGTCCCATCCGCTTTGGACCACAAGGGGTTTCTCAGAAAGCTTGGCAGGATGCGTACGGGGAATGCCATGATCTCTGGCGCTGCAGAGGGGACCACAGGGGGCCCTGGGGCAGCAGGGGACAGGAGTCAGGACCTGCCGCTCACCTTGTCCACTTGCACCCTCAGCTCCTGAACTTGACTCTCCAGGTTCCTCTTCTCCCCCAGGGCGGTGGTGAGCGCGGCCTCTTTGGAGTTGAGCTGGGTCTCCCTGGAGTCGAGGCGAGCCTGAGCGGCCTGCAGGTCCCTTTCCTTCTTGGCATTCCTGGAACACAGCCAGCAAACAGCTCTGTGGACATGTTCGGGGAATCGCCTGCCCCATGCAATGAGGACCCAATGCTGGAGAGGGGCCCAGAGCACTACCCCCAGGTCCAAACACCCCTCCACCCCCAGGGGAGAGCTCAGAACCTGATCCCAAGGGTCCTGGGGAATTTCACAACGGTGGAAGATGCTAGATTGACAACGCTGGTCCTCGGAGACCCATGTAGCCACAGAACAGGTCCAGATTGCCCCATTCCTGCTCTGTTTCTCCTGGATCATGCAGCTACCATGCCCCCGACTTGGGATCTGCACAGACTTGGGATCTGCACAGACAGGACGGGGTTTGCACCAGTGCAGTTGGTGATGCTTCAAAACCAGTGGAAATGACACGGGAGGCAGCCCCATTTCACACTGATGCAGCACATCCACCCCGCACCGCTTGGCATAGTTACCCTGCTACAAATATCCCCTCTATACACATGGCCTGAGTCTCTTTGATGTCCCAGTGCTCCCAGCTTCCCATTACACACACGGCTGCGCGATCAGTAACAAAAATAGCTTGTAGCATCCTATGTTACAGGCAATTTTACTGGTCCAGCCCTGCTGGTGTTTATTGGCTGGTGATTCAGAGCGGCGTGTGGGTGTTTAAAAATTAAACACAGGCTGATGTATGAATTGGCAAGTGGCTTCCCGGGGAATCAAAGTAATGGTCCCTTTTACAGCACATCTGACGGAACATACACACGTGTGCACACGCACACACCCTGCTAACAGCCTCCATCTCAGAATGCTTGAGCTGCGCAAAGCAAGTACAGAATCGTTAGTATTTATTATCTTTATTTGTGACCGGACCCTTGGGGTACAACCTTGAACTGTGGGACCACTGTGCCCCTTTAACTCTCCAGCCTGGGCTGTCTCACGATGCTTTGCGAGACAAGCAGCAAACCCCTCCAGGTGCCGTGATTAACTCAGTCAACGATGTGCAGGGACACACTCAGCTAAATTGCACGAATACTCTCTAAGCCACTCATGAACTGCACAGAGGGAGACCCCAGCAATTCCCCCCAGCCTTGCACTCCCAGAAATGTACGATCTTCCACTGCCTGTGACCATCTCTTGAACAATGCACGTTCATTAATTACTTCACCACGTTGTCAAAGGCTAGTGGACATGCCCCAGCCTTTGTAATCTGAGCAAGATTCCCCAGGCATTTCAGGTAAAGATAAAACATGAAAATAAATGTATTAACTACAGAAAGATAGATTTTAAGTGATTATAAGTGGTGGGCATAAAGGTCAGAGATGGTTACATAAGAAATAAAAGTAAACATGCATTCAAAAAACCCTAAATTTTATCAGACTCAGTAATATTTTAATCAAACAGCTTTTCTCACCCCACTGGATGTTGCAGGCAGGTTACAGTTCTTAATACACAGACTGAATTCCCTTCTCAGCCTGGGACCAATCTCCCCAGTTCAAAGTATTTGTCTTCTCTGTGTAATAAGGTGGATTGGCCTCCCACTGAGCCAAAGGGGGAGGAACCAGTCTCTGATCCCTCGTGGGTGGAGCCAGGCCAGGCTCACCCCTCCCACCGGAAGTGAAGAGGTGGGACAGGAAGTATAAAAGGCAGAGCCGCTAACTCAGTTGAGTCTGAGCCAGGGAAGGAGTGGATGTCTCCAGGCTGCTGCAGATTCCTGGAGCTGAACCGGCACTGCCCCACACCCGGCCACGGAGGAGACTAAGGCTATGTCTACACTGCACTTTTGTCCATAAAACTTTTGTCGGTCAGGGGTGTGAAAAAAAACCACCCTTGACCGACAAAAGTGTTACCAACAAAAAGTACCGGTGGGGACACTCTCCCACCGACAAAGCTATCACCACTCACTGGGGGTGCTTTTATTTTGCCAGCAGGAGTGTTCTCTCCACTGTCACCACCTGCTCTCCAAGCACAAAGCAAGGTAGGAGCGGAGCTTTCAAGATAAATGGCCCGAGTCACTGATTGTCGCTTTTAATAACTAGGCTCAGAACAGGAATGTGGTCATTTGGGAATCCCCTCGGGGAAGGAAGTTTTTTCCAAGAGGGTCTGTTTGTGTCAGAGAATGGCAGCAAAAACATCCAGTTTGCGAGAACGCACATTCCATTCCAGTAAGCAACAGATCCTACAGATTACATACAGGGATCACTGCAATGCAGCCACCTCTGGAGTGGAGCAGGGCAGCTGTGTAACAGCCACACAGCAGCACAACTAAGGGCTGGCTGCAGGCTGGGCATTATTGTAATGGATGGCTTAAGAAAAAGTTAGAGGAGATTGTTTTAAAGTTTAAGGCTGCAAAGCCTTTAGAAAACATGGCTCCTGTTTAGGAGCAAAATCTCCTCCTCCCCATATCCTTCAAAATCCTCCCACCATCACAGCATGCTCTCGGCCAGGGGAGAACAGACACAGACATTCAGCACACGGAAACCTGCATTCCAAATCCATCTCCAAATAGCAACAAGTTCCTAGGATCTAAATGCAGAACTAGCAACTGTTCTAATGCAGAGATGACCATGGAGTTATCTAGAGATGGATCCATGGTTGGGGAGAGATACAGGAAGCGAAATATAAAATCCGGGGCAGCTTTTAAAGACATCTGTGAAATGTTCCTCCTGCTTTCTGGGCTGATGGATTATTTATGGCATGTTCTAGGTAGGTTAATTTCAGACTGTCCCTTTTGGGGGGCTTTTAGACAATAAATCCCCTCACCTCTAAACCTGCTGCCTCAAGAACATCCCAGCCAGGATGGAGATTTTTCCCTTCCTTCTACTCTGGCTTGTTTTTCTTTCCCTCCACATCCCTCACCGTTTGCCAAACACATGACAACCCGCTATTCGCCTTGGCCTGCGGCCTCGGGATATTTGTGGCTTCTTTCCCAAGGCTGCCAGCCCTGACTGCTCCCACTCCAGCTTCGAGGGGCGGCCCCAACCTTTGAGAGGGTGGGAGGAAATTCTCCCACTACCAGTTGCCCCATTGCCTAGCATGACTGTGATTTCGTGACCCCTGCACATGCCCTGCCCCGGTGCTCACTGTGCCTTCAGCTCCTTGAATTCCTCCCGCACTTTGCTCAGCTCCAGCTGAAGTTGTGCTCTCTCTTTGGCCACAGAATCCAAGGTCTTGCGGGCATCCGCCAGCTCCGATTCGTAGGTCGCTTTGATGCTCGACAATTCACGGCTTGACGCCTCGTCAGGGGTGGGGATGCGCAGCCGGTGACCGGCATTCTCCGACTCCAGCGAGCGCACCCAGCCAATGTAGACGGCCAGCCGGTCGTTGAGCTTCTGCAGGTTCTCCTTCTCCTGCAGGCGGGTCATGCGGGATTGGTAACCCGCTCTATACCATGCGTCCCTCTTCTGACCTGGGGTGTCCATAGCCGTCGACAGCCTGGGAGAGATGCAAGCAGGGGTCAGTGACTCAGATCCTCAGAGCTCCCTTCCTCACCTCTGCGTCTGCCTCGCTGGTACTGACAGCCTGAGTCACTCACCTGGATCTCGGCTCAAACAGGTGTGGAGAGTGGGAGGGGCTGTGCAAAAGAGAGCCAACCCCTCTGCTTTGATTAGTTAAAGGAGCAGAGGCTCCTGGAAGAACAGGCTCTGTTTAAACTAAGGGTTTGTCCTCATGGGAAGATTATAGCCGGATAAACTAAAGTGTGAATTTAAATACATATAATGATGGTGGTATAATCCCCATGTGGATATTCTGGAAGGAGAGCGCCTTTTTCAGTGTAACTTATGTTGCTTTGGAAGAGGTTTAAACTGAAGTGCAAAGTGCCACTCTTGTTCCAGAACAATAAGAATAAATAACGACCCCTAGCACTTTCCATCAGTAGTTCTCAAAGCACTTTACAAAAGAGATCAGTCTAGTTATACCCATTTTACACAGGGGGCTACTCATGCAGAAGGAGGGAAGCGACTTGGCCAGGGCCGTGGCAAAGCCAGAAATAGAACCCAGGTCTCCAGGCCAATGATCTAGCCACTAGATCACACTGCCTTTGGAATGAGAGGGCCCATATCAGGAGTTAGGGCTTATCTACACAGGGAAATTGACCAGAATAGACCCCCCACATTGACACTTTTATTCCAGAATAAGGCCTTACCAAGAATGAGTCTATGGGATTCTCGCCCTACTACCTAATGTTTGGTAGGGAAGCGCCTCTGCCTGTGGACATGTGCTTTGGAGAATCTACAGATGGCCCCAGTCAAGCGTCCTACTTGTAGTACGTAAGTAACATGGCTTAAAGAACAACTGAGTGCTGCCTACAAGCGAGCAATGAATGCTGCAGAGACAAGGAACCCCAGTAACAAGTAACTGAACAGGATTTGGTACCTGATGACCGTGTACTCATCTGAAATCCCGAGTTGAGTGACCATTGGAAGTCTGACCCGTAAGTCACGGTCCAGACGCTACCAGACATTCCAGTGTACCGCTTGAAGTGAGAGAATGGACTGAGAGACAGAATCAACTGCTGCCAATGGGACAGTTAGTTAATTTTCCTGACATACCCACAGCGAAAACGCCTGTGACTCACTCCGCGACTAGAAATCAGGAACCCCAGTCGACTGAAGGAAGTATTCTCGTTCCTATAGAAGAAGAGTCCGCTTCTGCCTCAGATGACAAGACAGAGCGTTTTTTATCCATCTCTGAGGCTTTTTGACACCATTGTATTTGACAGGCTTCTTCTGCTACTGCTGCTGCTGAGAAAGTAGTCAGAGCACCCAGTTCTGGATCTCAGCCCCGACAGCAAGGCTCAGAACGTGAGGGTGCAGAAGCTGACGCTGCTCTACAAGTCACCCAACCGCCTGAGTTTAACCATGAAGTTGTGACGGCTACGGCGGACGCAGAAGAAAGATCTCCAGAGTAAGCAAGACCTAAGAGACTGATAAAACCTGTGTCCTGACTCCCCTGGTGTGCCTGGTGACTTTCCGTTGAGTGTGGTGCAAAGGTTCAGATCACCTCTGACTGATTTCGCTCAGGTAGTGCCTCATGTGTCCTCTGCAGAGGTTCAAAATATAGCAGGTGTCAGATAAATGTTAGGATATTACAGTTAAATAGGAATTCTGTGTAGGCAGGTAGCACTGGTTCGCTAAGTGACTATAGACTTTGCAATTCTGGACATTGGATACTTTTGATTTTTCAACGGTTAAAACCTTGGTCTTGATGGGTGCATCAGGATTCCAGGAGGGGGAGGATGTAGCCTCCCCACACACCTTAGCAAGGAGGCTGTACCCCAAGAGAAGAGACATCTTTGGGGCCCCAGTGGGGTCCACAACCAAGTGGTTGTAGCTCCATTAACTTCAACAGTGTTTCACTGAAATTCAGTGACACAACGTCGATTTACAACAGCTGAGCGTCTGGCTCGGGCTGGGCATTTTATGGGTGCACGTGGTAGAAATATATTACAATCAACAAACAGCACATATCTAAAAATCATCCCTTAACATTGAACTCTGGAGCCTAGGTTGGGATTACAAGTGTTTATAGATAACTTTTTGCATGTTGGCAGAATTATTTTGATTCAACATCTTCTCAAGAGAAACAAAGGAATAAAAGTCTTATCAATGCTCATTTTGAAACTGATAAAATAAAACTTTCATTTTATTTAATAACTAGGTGTGACACCCCCAATGATTCTAAACAGCTGATCGCTTTGTCTTCTGTTCTACAGCTGGATTCTGCTCCCAGTCAAGTCAATGGGAACAAAGGTCATTCACTTTAAAGAGACAAGATGGGTGAGGAAATATCCTTTATTGGACCGACTTCTGATGGTGAAAGAGACACATTTTTAAAATTAAGACCTTTGCTTAAATTCTTTGTGGGCCTGGGGCCTGATCCATCTGTCCAAGATACCACAGCACAGCTGGCACCAAATATTTTCTCTTGCTGCCTTCTACTGTCCTTCACTCCCCTCTCCATTTTGAGTTCAGTTACTATTAAATTAACACTTCCCTATAGATTGGAGGAGGCTAAGGATTACAGGCCTGTTGGAATATTCTGAGGAAGAGAGGCTAGAGACATGGTAGATCAAGTTGGGGGGGGGGGGGATTTCAGGTGTATGAGTGTCATAACTATAAAGGGAGGGGTAACAGCCCTCCTGTGTACAATACTATAAAATCCCTCCTGGCCAGAGACTCCAAAATCCTTTTACCTGGGGTTAAGAAGCTCAGGTAACCTGGCTGACACCTGACCCAAAGGACCAATAAGGGGACAAGATACTTTCAAATCTTGGTGGGGTCGGGGGGGAGGCTTTTGTTTGTGCTCTTTGTTTTGGGGGTTGTTCGCTCTTGGGACTGAGAGGGACCAGACATCAATCCAGGTTCTCCACATCTTTCTAAACAAGTCTCTCATATTTCAAACTTGTAAGTAAACAGCCAGGCAAGGTGTGTTACTTTTATCTTTGTTTTCTCACCTTGTAAATGTACCTTTTACTGAGGTGTTTACCTCTGTTTGCTGTAACTTTGAACCTAAGGCTAGAGGGGGGTCCTCTGGGCTCTTTAAGTTTGATTACCCTGTAAAGTTATTTTCCATCCTGATTTTACAGAGATGATTTTTACCTTTTTCTTTAATTAAAAGCCTTCTTTTTAAGAACCTGATTGATTTTCCCTGTTTTTTTAGATCCAAGGGGGTTGGATCTTGATCCACCAGGAGTTGGTGGGAGTAAGGAGGGGGGATGGTTAATTTCTCCTTGTTTTAAGATCCAAGGGGTTTGGATCTGTATTCACCAGGGAATTGGTGAAGAGTCTCTCAAGGCTACCCAGGGAAGGGAATTAGCACATTGGGAGTGGTGGCAGCGGACCAGATCTAAGCTGGTAGTTAAGCTTA